GATGAGGCTGGCCACGTTAATCTAACTCAGTTTTGCCCACCAGGGTTTTCTGTGTAGCAGCAGGCAAGACCTGGGGAATGGAGAGTTGGGGTTGAAATGGTCTTATCATAATTCCATCCCTTTCACCAAATGTCCCATTCCCCAGTTTGCTGAAAATGAATGTGTGTTTCTGAAAGTAGTCGCCCGGGACAAAATAGGGATTCTGTTGGCATACTGTGGTTCCACAACCTCCCTTCCTGAGCTAACTGAGGTGACCTCACAGGTGGTATTGGAGTTATCTCAACTTGTTGTGCAGGGAGACTTCCATGTCCATGCCGAGGCAACACTATCAGGAGTGGCTGAAGACTTCAGGACTTCCATGGTGACCATGGGCCCGTCCCAAATGTTTTTTTCCTCACACCTGTGCTACAGAGCACAATTTGTACCTGTTTTCTGTACTGGAGTAGTTGCTGGTGATCTGGATGTGGAGGAATGCTCTAAGTTGCATTGTCATGGATAGACAATTATCTGGTGAGGTTTAGACTGGAGATGGGGATATTCGTATTTGTAAACAAATACAAATATCCTGTCTCAGCAGAACTGACCACAAGCATCCTGGCACCGTGAAGGTCCTGCTGTTCTCATCAATAGCACCAGGAGCTCTGCTGTCTCCCCGCTCGGGTGGCTATTCTGGGCAGGGGGCGGGAGGATGAGTCTTCCCGCATGGCTGTGGTGTGGCTAGCTGAACAGGGAGACAGCATAGCTCCTGGTACCATTGGTGGGAAGAACGGGACCTTTGTGACACCAGGAGGCATGAGTGGATGGTCCAGTTCCGGGATGAGGATATTCATATTCATTTGCAAATATGAATACCCCCTTCTCCAGTTTAGACTCACAAGAACTCAGAGCTGTTGCAGGGATGGGCAACAGAAAAAGATGTTGTGGTTGATAGATCCAAATGATACCTTGACAGCTCTTGGGGAGTTTCTTATCACCTTGGCAGGTGAATCTGTTGAAACCCTGGTTGATCTCTGGAATGGGGAAATAACAAAAGCCATTGACATGATTGCTTCTAAATGTCTCCTCCCACAAAGTGGAACCAAACTGGCTGGTTTACCAGGGAGCTAGTGGTGATACAATAAACGAGACATAGACTTGAGAAACAGTGACTGAAAACTCCAAATGAATCTGACCAGTCAGGGGCCATTCCAATATTCATTTGAACCCTATTGTGTGACAGTGGCATCAGTGAAGAAGTCATTTCTTCTATGACACCACTGTGTCTGCACAGAGTTGTCCAAGGATCTCTTTCAAGTGGTCAAGGGCTTTTTACATCATGGATCGAATACAGACCATACTGTAGCTCCCTGGGAAGAATTTGCACGACACTTTGCAGGCAGAATTATTCAGATCCACTCTGACTTGTAGCAGTACTCAGATTGCTAACTGGGGCTGATCACATGGATCACATAACCCCTCCTGTTATAGCAGCTCCACTGGCTGCTAATTCATTTCCAGGTACAATTCAAAGTGCTGGTCCTAACCTATAAAGGCCTAAAGTACTTTGGTACATATTCTAGTAAATATATAGTAATTGTCAGCTAGATTTGGCAAACATACATTGGGTGTCACTGCAAAACATTACTCTATTTTTAGTTCATTTATAATCATGGACTGGTCTCAGTCTTCAGGCACC